ATATATAGCATAGGAGGCCTGTTTGTATAGCATTAAGTCGTCGTAGGAGCTCCTTATTAAGGGAGGGGAATAATGTCACGAGTTGAGTATTCTAGACCTCTTCGGTTGATACCTAAGGTACTAACTCTTAGCGCTGCGACACTTCCTCGCACGCTTCCTTAGACCTCTTCGTAGACTCGTATTACGACCTCGTCTTTATACTGCTATCTACCTTTGCTATTTGACAGCCGCGGTTAGTACTAGCTAGTCGGATCCTCGATTCTAGTCGTTACTAGAGCTAAATAGCCCGCTCGGCTGTTTCTACTTCGACTATAAATTAAATGCATATTAGGTTAGCCTGTTCGAATACACGGCGGCGGTCTAATTTAAGGACTAGTTCCTACCTTAGTTTAGGTCGTATCTTAGATATCTAGATAGAGTCGGTTTTAGGTAGTAAATCGTCCTTAAGGGTCTTTAGATAGGCCTTAAATAAGCGAGCCGATTAATTAGTCTTTTGTTTAGCTCGAAGGTATTAGTCCTAAGCGTGTTGTTGCCTTAGTATAGGGTTTCTAAGGGTGTCTAGCATAATAGTCTTGTAGTCTTGCTACTAAATAGCGGTCTAATTAGTAAGGGAGTCGAAATAGTTATCCTAGGTACGCTTTAGGTCTCTATTAATGTATTGTATAGTATAGACGACTAACGAGTAGTCGTCTAGAAGGGCCCTTAGCGCGTTTCGCTAGTTAAGCTCGCAGTTACGGATGTAGTCGTTATATTGTTTTCGACTAGAGCTATTAAATACGGTATAGTCCTTAAGTTTAGCATCCTTCTTTTAGACTAAAACAGATAGAGAGGAAGGCCCTACTATTAGTTTAGTATTAGTCGCTAGGGCTTCTTATAGGCGACGAATTTCGAGGAGATTATCCTTTAGCTATTGTTCCTAGCGCAAGGTAGTAAGCCTATTTTAAGTAGCTTCTTAAAGTCTCGCTACTAGCTAGGGGCTAAAGGCTAGCTAGCTATATCGTCGATTAACAATGTTATTAAGTATATCGTTAATAGGCAATTCTAGGTCGTCGCCTAGGACTATAGGTTCTTTAGTAGGCCTAGTAGTAGGCTCTTTAGCAGGTACCTTAGTAGGTGCTTTAGCAGGCACTTTAGTAGGTGCTATGCTACTAGCGTTGTTATTGCTAGCGCTGCTAGCGGCAGTACGGTTGTTGTTTCGTAATAAACCGGCTATTATAAGGGGCGACACTAATAATATATTATTAGCCCCTAAGATGCGGATATAGCGGAATTAGTAGATATCGGCTTAGTATACTTAACTTAGTATAATAGGCCGTATAGAAGGCCTTGCTTGATAATTGGTACGGTTGTTTTAGTAGAATAGTACGTATAGGTCCCGTTCTTCGGGCGTAATATAGTTAGATTAGTCTTGTTCGTAGCTATACCGCTAAAAGCTTAAAATAAGGACTATCTAGCTACTGCCCTTAAAGGGTGGATCGAATACTATATAAAAAGGGTATATTAGCAGGTAGATAGGGTAGTAGTAGGTACGAGTAGTATTCGATAGAGAACTAGGAGGAGAAGGAGGAAGGCAGGCTAGTTAGCCTAACGCCAAGCGCCAAGCCCTGCCTAAGGCACTAAGACCCTAGCTTCACTCGAGCTAGTTATATACTAATTACGTATAGCCTCTAACAGCACTCTAGTTAAAGGTTAAATAGCTATATAAGACGATTGCCTCGCTTATAAAGATATAGTATGCTTTAAATGCTAGCTATAAAGCTAACTTATCGGCAATAGCGACTATTATTAATCGCTAGCGGAGGTTAAAGAGCCCTCTAGCTTTAGGCTCTCGAAGAAGGTATATAGATTAGGCTAGTTATGCTATATTAAGTTATATGCCTTATATAAGGCAATAGGACTATAATATAAGCAGGCGTATATTAAATAGTGTTTATCCTTCTTATTAAGAGGCTAGTATTTAAAGCCCTAAGCGGTCCTTACGTGCTTATAGAGATAGCAACGCTAGCGCTTAAGAATAGGCTTCTAGGAGTATATAGCGTTACTCCTACGAGCGAGGCGGCGAGCTTCTTTAGCAGTAGGAAGGCTATCGCCCTTCCTAATCTAATAGCGCTTCTATCGAGCTCCGCTAGTATTATAGGTATAATCTACGACAAACTAGCCTTATTGCCTAGACGGCGGAGGCGTTAGCGTACGATTAGCCTTTGCCGTCGCCTCTATAGTAAGGCGAGTATTCTTCTTACTTTGTGCCTTCTATACTATTTGCTATACTAGTTTAACTCTAAACTCGCGTTAGTTATTAAAGTCCTTGTCTTTCTTATTACTATAAAGAAGTATATATACGTTAATAATAGCAGTATTAAGTAGGAAGTAGAATAATAGATGCTAACCCTTCCTTAACTTATACTAAAAGGAACAATAGAACTAGAGCTAATTATAGATATCTACGCTACCTATATAATTATTATAGCGAGCTGCAATGCTTAGCAATAACTTCGGTTCTCGTTCTTCTTTCTAGTAAGGTCGTACGTAGTTATCGATAAAGGCGTTATTACTAGCTCGTAGGCATACTTAGAGGCGTGTTTCTTAGCTTCGTAGATCGATAGTATTCGTAAGGAACTAAACGAGATTTCTATCCTACTAGACAACCGCTGCTATACTATAAATTACTTTGTATAGTAGTATATCGAATAGGAAACGAGTCGTCTTACGGTTTAGTAGTAGAAAGGTCGATTTCTTCTACCCTCCCTTTTTTAGAAGCTAACCTAGTTTCTCGAATTTAGCGCCTCTCTAAGGCTACGATAAGGAGCTAGACCTTACTATACTAGTCGCTCCGATGCCGAGATACTTTAATATAGCAAATAGGACTACATTATTAAATAGGTTGTCTATAAATATATAGAAGTAGTATATTTAGAAAGGAAGTTATAGTAACAATCGGAGAATAGCGATTCTTAGCGGGCTTAGCCTCGCGCTAAGATTAAGTCTATAGGCGTAGTTAGTCGGTTATATACTACTAGGCTCGCTTACGGCGCTTTCCGAGCTTTCCGTAGCTTCCGAGTAGTTAGCGCCTCTCGAGGTAGATATATAAAAGTCGACTTTTATTTTATTAACCTCGTAGATACTACTTATTCTATTATAACTACTACCCTTAGTAAGGCTATTAAGCCTGTCTCGGCGCCGCTTATTACTCTCCTTCGCTCGCTTAATTACCTCGGCGCTAGTAAGCTGCTCTCGAACGATAACTAGCCGCTCGAGGATCCTTATTACGAATTCGTCTATTTCGACCTTCTAAGAATGCTACTTTCGAGGGCTTAAGAATAGGAAGGAATATAGGTACCTATCCTTATATAAGCATAGGATATAGTATCCGATAGGTATTAGCTTTCCTCGTATTATTATTATATAACTAGATCGGCCTATAAACTAGATTATAGACTCGTCGATAGATATATTGCTTCTAGGAAGAACAACGCTCTTAAACCTCTCTCGTAATAAGTCCGCTAACGGCAATATCTACGACTACGTAGGCAGTCCGGAGCCCCTTAGAATAGGACTTCTATACTATAGAGCGGCCTTAATCTATCGGAAGCGCTACTTACTTATATAATCGGCAATTAGATATATAGGCTAGTATTTGTCGCCCCTCTAGTAATCCGACTTATTAGCTATTTAGATCGCCGATATATAGATAATAAGGGCTACGAAGATTAATATATCTTTACGCCCTACTAGTTTCTAAGAGTATCTAGATATAACAATCTTAGGCTCCCTATTATAGCTAATTCGGGGGTTTCTAGCCTTATCTAGTTTAAACTCTTCTCGGGTCTCTATATACTTATTAGTATACTTAACTAGCCTGTCTATAATCTTATTAGTCTATAGGAGGTTAAAGAACTCGTACTATACGTCGTCTATCTTTAAGAGGTCCCCTTATAGGTAGATAGGTAAGTTAACCTTCCGCTAGCGCTTAGTTACCTCTAATAGCTTAAATAGGTCTTCCTTTAGGTCGTCTTCTACTAGATAGTAGAGGCTACCGGCTCGGTTGTCTATACTAATAGTCTTAATTAGGTCGTCCTTATTTCTAGTATTATATAGCTCTTTATCTAACCCTCGAGGCACCGCTATTACCGTTGCTATTACTGTCTTATAGAATAGACCTTCTATCTACGAATAGACGTACTTATCGTACTTAATAGAGTTACTATAAGCCTTTTTAACCTATTATAGCTACCTTTAGTTATTATCTTCTTTATTAGCTTCTATACTATCGATAATAGTAGCTTAAAAGCGGTTTAAGCCGTCTATTGTAGCTACTAACTTAGTAGGTTAAACTTTACGATTTAAACCTTTAAGAGTTAGAATTTAGTCTCCGAGAGCGGCGGCGACTAGAAGAGGCAAAGCGCTATTATAAGCGAGTCCAATTGAGCCTTATCTATTCACCTGCAGAGCGGCTTCTATATACTAACTATATAGACACTATAGGGGTTGATCCCTGTTTACCCGACGAACGCCGACCAGCAACGAGTTAACCAAGGGGATGTCGTCGCTTCCGTTGCCATCTGCCATCTCGTCTCGTGCTCCTGCAGCGTCCAACGCACGTCGGCCGTGCCTGCATCAACCCCGCCCCGCCGAAAGATGAGGGTGTGGCAGCAGCACACGCGACCATGCAACGCCCCGGGCCCGGCTGCTTGCCGCTGCGCCACGGCCTTGGCAATCGCCGCCGCCGCCTCCTTCTAATCACCGACAATTGTAAATCTGTATCGTCTCTTGGTATCAACAACTTATGCTCACTGACTTGCCCGTCAAACTTTCGATATTGCCTTTGGGGCGCGCCATGGAAGGCAAGCAATGTCAACAGCTGTCAGGAACAGGAAGACCCGACCTTCGAATGCGCGTTGTACGAGCACTCCGGCGCACTCCTCCCAATATCCCGCTTTGACATCTCCAACATGTCAGCACTCGGCCATCGACTCGTGCACTGCACAACTTAGCACTGCGCTATGCCGCAGCATACACTGCTCACCCAATACCTGGGCGCAGTCATTTCATGGCTTGGCTTCATCGCCGTCATCTTCTTCTACGCCCACAGACCGCCTTTTCTGTCAAATTTTCCCATCGAAAAGTTCACGGCCGCAAATTCAACGCTTGGCTTTGGAGCCATCGCAGCAGTCTCACGAGCCGCATCCTCGAGACGAGAAGGCCTCATCTTCGCCGCAAATATCACGCGCGTCCATCTCACCATTCCAGAACAGCCAATCTGGACAGAAGAAGATGTCGCTGGCCTTCATGCCAAGTATGGCAGCACCATGACCCACGGCAGTTCACTGGCCTGGCTTGGTCACCTGCACGCTTTGAAGTGGTTCCTATCCACCGACCTCCAATCAATCCTCATCCTGGAAGACGATGTTGATTGGGACATCCGCCTGCGCTCCATTCAAATACCAGCAGCAGCAGCCGCCGTCCGTCTGCTCGCAAATCCACACCACTCCTCAGAAACCGACTTCTGGGGTCCTCTGGCCTCATGGGACTTACTCTACCTAGGCCACTGCGGCGACTTCTTCCCAAGCCAACGCTGGAAAGGCATCCCGCATCTCACATTCCCAGACTCCACCTTGCCCGTCCCGGAGAATCTCCATCCATACACACAGAAGTTTCTCTCGTCCATAGACATCCCCGCACAAAACCGCTTAGTCCACCAAACCACCTTCCCGCTCTGCACATTCGGCTACGCAGTCACACGAGCCTCGGCGAAGCGACTTGTGCACGAGCTCGCGAATCGAGAACCGGATGGAGGCTGCCTAGCCTACGATATCCGAATCCATGAGATCTGCCGCGACAACCCGGACTTCAAATGCCTCACTGTGAACCCGGAACTGATGCATCATGTCGATGCTGAGAGCGAGATCGGGAACGTTGATCAAGGTCGGGAGCACGGGCAGCAAGGTATCGAAAACACGACGAGGAGACACACGCCCAATATCGCCTGTGGAGCGAGAAGCCCGGCGTTGTATACCGATGACCCGGATGTGCTGAATTATCTTGCATCCCATGCGATTGGCGATGCGAAGACTTGTCTACCGGAAGATATGGAGGCGGTAGAGAGGGAGATGAGGATGCGGTACCCATATGCATGAGCCATTCATGATGCTGCCACCGTACCTGTATCTAGAGTTGTTGAATCTGAATCTGCAAGGCTTGACTGAGAAAGGGCTTGCCAAGTGCACCAAGAGACTGCCATTCTTCCCTCCCATGATGGGCAGGTTACGAACTCAGCATATGTACAAAAAGTTGTCTCCATCATATCATCACTTTCCCTCTCACGCTCACAGAGCCGTACGAACTCTCGGCGTCCCCTGTACCCAAAAAAAAATCCCCGGTCCCCCCTATCCCTCCCTCCGCCCAAGAGATTGATATACCTATACCCATCTGCATTGAGATAGCCATCATCACTACCCTCGTGTCAGGAAAACGCCTCGCCTCGCCTCTCTCTGTGGTCGCTGCGTCAGGCTAGCGAATGTGCGGCAGCATTCTGCCCGTTCTCACACCGTGAAAAAGAAATGTCCATACATCCTCCGTCTTTCCTCCTTAGGTAGGCCGGTCCACGCTCGCTTTGCTGGAATGAAATCATTGGATGGGGGGGTAATGCATGCTTCTTTGGAGAACATCATCGCTCGCTGGAAACGCTCAGAAACAAAACAAAAATGAATGCCGTGTCATGACGCACAAACGGAAGAAGTCATCGTCCAAAAGTCGAACGGAGAAAAAAAAAGTAGTGGTCAAATGTGAAGGGTGAAAATCGATCGGGCCGAAGCGTGGGTGTGTCGAATGGTGCGCTCTTTGCCCACGAGCTACTGTCAGAGACCTTGCTCGCCGGCGGTACAAAGTTTTATGCCCTTGCCCCATTCTGAGTTGAGCACTTGGTGGGCAGAGATTCGGCGGCTGGCGTTCGGGTCAAGAATACTGTAAATAACATTTCTGCAGCGCGCCTGACATTTTTCGTGAGTACACCCTTCAGCGTGTAAGGACTTTTGGGAATGCGATGTGCAGCTTACTCTATGCAAAGTCTCAATCGGAGCATAACCCTCTTCGCTCTTTCGACCACGGATGTAGTTTTCGTAGAATTCGTCCTCGTCCTTCTTGGCTACGCGCCACAAGTGTCGACCCGTGCGCATTGCCATGTAGATGACGCCGCAAGCCCAGACGTCAACGGCGCGAGGATCAAATTCCTTGTCCGTGTATTCTTCAGGAGCGATATATGGAGCACTGCCGCAGAGACCAGCGGTCATGTGCGGTTCTGTTTCCCAAGCCATGCGGAAACATTCACCATTGCCGAAGTCGGTAATCTTCAGCGCTCCGTGAGTCGTCAATAGAAGGTTCTCCGGCTTGAGATCGCGGTGAGCAACGCCCATCTCGTGTATGTACTCGACCCCTCGCATCAGCTGTGCAAAGTAGCAGTCAGCTTCGATAACATCGAGCTTGCCATTGGCCAAGACCAAAGAATATAAATCGCCGCCAGCGCAAAACTCCATCACCTCGCAGAAGTCGCCTTTTGCATCTTCGAGCAAGTCCAAGGTGTGGATGACATTTGGGTGGCGTAATGATGAGGAGATGCAGAACTCTGAGTTGAGGCGTTTGCTGTACTTCTTCGAATCTTCCTGCGGTCTTCGGCGGAACTCTTTCACGGCGTACAGCATTTCGTGTTTTGAATCGTTCGGGTCTGGTTTATGTGCAATCCGAACTATTCCAAAAGCGCCCCGGCCGACGATTTCTTGACACTTCCCATACTTCTGCACCAATGTCGCAGTAGCATTGGGACCATGGTTCTTCTCCTTTGCCATCTTGTCTTTCTCATGCTTAATTTGATCGACCCAATTTGACATCAGTGACAATGGTTGCTCATCGTCGTGTGGCTTCTTCTTTCCCAACATGAAATCCTTGAGCATGTCCGTCAACTTGTCTTGCCGTTTCGCGCCCTTGAGGAAATGATAGTGCTCGCCGGTGTCCTCGTCGATCCAGAAGCGTTTCGGTGCCACCGCGTCACTCTTCTCTTTCTTAGATTCAGATCCATTTCGCGTTGGCCCCATCTTCTCGTTCTTCGACGAAGTCCGGCTCACCTTCTGAGGGTTTGCTGGGCGCTGCTTGGGCGAGGAAGAAGCCTCGACCGCTGGGTCCTCGACAGCGGTCTCCGGTACCCTCTCGGCAGCCTCCTGTTTTATGTTCTCGCGGTTGGTGTCGCGTTGTGAGAACATGCGCGAGAGGCGCGTGCTGAAAGTCGGCTTCTTCTGAGGTCCGGCAGGTCGGTCTTGCTTTCCTTGTGCTGTATCGCCGTTGACGTTCGCACCGTTGCCAGGTGGGGTGTCGAGTGGAGTCTGTGGTGGCGGAAGCACAAGGTCGCCGCCTTGTTTACTGCTCGTTATTGAGGTGGTGGAAGCGGTGGGTGCCGGCGACGGTGCTGAGGTGGGGTGAGTGTGCTCCGGCGACGGCGACGTGCCCGTTGCGACAGCCATCTTTTGTTTTGCGCCGATGCGATTCAGGTTGCGTCAGTCTGAGCTCGGCGGCCGGCGGGAGCGAGAGCTCTCTGCGCTGTGGTTCGTTTCAGATCCGGCAGCCGCAGCACTCGGTGCGCAGGGACGGCGACGTCAGCGACGAGTACAAGAAAATCTAGCTAATAAGATTAAGCCCGTAAAGGGCAGCGTATATATAACCGATAGGTCTAATCCTAGCGGAAATCCTAACTAGCGACAAAAGTGCCTTAACCGCGAAGCGATGTTAACACCTAGGGATAGTCTATACGACTAGAGATATATTACTAAAAAGTTCTCCGCTATTCCTAAGGGATCGAGACACTCAAGGCTTGGACTCTTGGAGCTGGCTTGGATTTCAAAGCAGCAATGCCGCGGCGTTGCGACCGAGGCGACCGAGCAGACAGTGTTATTGGAGCAGCTTCGACATGTTGCGGGAATGGCGGCTGGCGAGCGCAAGACACAGCTGATGCGATGCGGGCGATGCGTTGTGAGGCGGCGCAAGCTGGTGGCCGAGTGACAGCGAAGCGTGCCGAAAGAGAGAGGCAGCTGGGCAAAGCAAAGCACAGCTGGGCTGGGCTGCTCAGAGGGATGATGAGCAAGCGGCGGGCGTGCAGAGAAAGGCGCAAAGGCAAAGGCAGAGGCAGAGGCAGAAGGCAGAGGAGGCAGAGGCAGAGGCAGAGGGCAGAAGCAGAAGCACAGGTCTCGTGAGGGATTTACTCCTCCTCCTCCAACGTCAGGTCAAACGCCTGCGCTAGAACTAGAGCACCCTCCTAGCTTCATTCTTTCCGGAACCACTCCTGTGCTGGCTGGCGTGGCGGGCGAGCGAGCGAGCGAGCGGGCTGCCAGCGCTTAATAATAAATAAGTTGTTGGCGAGGAGATGTGGGTGGGCGGTGGCACGTTGCGGTAACTAGAATAGATTTGATTGCGGATACGCACGTTGACCGTCATCAAAACGATACGAGTAAGACCTGGCATTACATTACCGCCCTCCCCTTCACCGCACTATTATTGTCGTTCGCACTCCGAGCACGTGTGAGAACTTGGATGTACATATTTCTGGTGTCTTGTCGTGTCTTGACACTTGTCACGGCCCGGCCTCGTCAAACTGCAGGTGGGTGTGAAACGCACGCTGCACGCGACCTGCTTCTCATCATGCTTGAGCACAACCTCCATCCATGGGCCATCTCAAACCGATGTCCGAAGCATTCACACTGAATCACACATTTGCAACGCCGGCGGCCGGAACCCCGTGACACGCCTTGTATCAACTCTACTGGGCTAGCCTGGAGGTCGAGGCGCACATGCTCGTGCACATTATTAGGATATTTCGACCCCTTTGCAAACACTTTCTTGCTGCTGTGCCTTGCCGCCTTTCGACCGTGACCCCTTGGAATTTCACTAGTAGTAAGCCGCTTCGTGGAGTGTCCGATTTGCGCATATCCTCCTCATGCGGCATTGCCTACATCATTATTCATGGCTTGCGGGGTCCGTGGGATGTGTCCAGCTGCGCGATTTTGTTCCTGCGCCCACTGCCGACACTACAAATAATGCTTTCTGGAAGCTGCGTGTCTCGCTGGCCGGCCAAGCTTACGTAGCTGGAGCACAGCAGATCAAGATTCGAAGCCAAACATCCGATTCGAACTGCCAAGGAAGCAAGTCATGCTGTCCACTGTTTCCACTGTCCAGCTTGTACTCTGGTGCAACGCTGCAGGAGCTCTCCTCTCCATCCGGCATACAACAGCTCTCTAAGTCTCGAGCCTGTCGTCGGCCTGCAGAGTCCATGCACTGTAACGATGACTCTGCAGCCAGATCAAGGTACGGCTTCGCAACCTCGAGATCCTCGGCTAAAGGGTGATCAGGTGTCAGGTGGTCCGGACCGTGAGAGCTGCCATGCTCGTCATATACCGAATGCCGTATCGGAATGCTTCATAATACTGCTTGGTTGTCGCGGCCAGTCTTGAGGGCCAAATACTTGCGAACTGGCCATCTCCGATTCTTCTACTCTCCATCGAAAGGAGTTGAGACGTCAAGATAAAGTTAGACGCCTCGGAACTATTATTGTGCTATTCAATAAGTCGCGCCATGCAGTCGGAGAGCCGATTTTCAGTTCCACACCACCTGTTACTAAAATTAGTATGTAACCTAGTGCTCTTAGCATTCGTAGATCTCTACCACTATGTTAAAAAACTATGTTGTCGCTTTTCTAGTAGTATAGGGCCTTTAAAGGTATTGTTATAGCGCGCCTACTAGACGACTAACTTAATAAGATTAAGCGCCTCTTCGACAAAAGCAATCTATCTAATAATGCTATCTCTAAGGTTGTAAACGTTGCTAGGCGGACCGTCGATAAGCTCTATAATAACTATCTCTTATTTAGTATATTCTATATTAGGGACCTAGCTAAACTCGGCCGCCTAAGGCGCCTATTACTAATTTATAAAAATATAGGTATATCCGCCTATTTCGCGCCTACCTAACCTAACTAACCTCGCTCTTACTATATAGCGTATATTCGACTTCCTTATAAACCGACTAACGGCTATAGGAAGGGTATATTAGTAGGTAGATAGGGTAGTAGTAGGTACGAGTAGTATTTAATAAAAGGCTAGAAGGAGAGGGAGGAAGGTAGGAGAGTTAGCCTAACGCTAAGCGCTAAGCCCTGCCTAAGGCGTTAAGACCCTAGCTTTACTCGGCCTAGTTATATGCTAATTACGTATAGCCTCTTTAGCCCTAATATACGCTTCCCTTCTAGAGGCTGCGCCCTTATAGCCGGTCTTTATCCTAGTCTTAACCTCTATTACTACTAACTTAGTAGGTCTAATAAGCTACTTAGCCCGCGCTAAATTAAACACTTAACTACCTAATTATATAACTATATTAAACCTTACCTCTAATAATATAATATGTAACTCTAACTACGCTATCTCTATATATAATAAACTATAAAGTAATATATATCTATAAGAATTAAAGGCTATCGACTAATTATAATACGAGCGCGTCTTCCCTACTATAATAGGTAGACGTACGAGGTATTGTAGCACTGCCTCCGTTCTAAGTAATGTCGTACGAGTTCTTTGCGTCTACTCTAATAGACCTAGAAATATCCGCTCTAAGGGTTTGTCCGTTCCGAGGGTTATTCTTATTATTACGAGGGCTATTATTTACTATCGTAGTTTCGCTAGCCTAAATTAGTTAGGTTTGGCAGCCTTTAAGTGTTAACTAATTATATCTTTTTAAAAAACTTAGTTCTTCTAGTTTCTATAGGTAAAGGCTATTATAAGTATAGTAGTAGAGGTTCGCCTCGCTTAAAGAGTCGGAGAGATCGAGGAGTAACCTATTATCCGCAAGATCGACCCTAGCTAGCTTAGCTCTATAGTTTTGCCCTTAGTTAGTCTATTAGTCGCTTAATCTTTTGACTTAGTTAAAGTTTTGACTTAGCCTTAAAGTTTTAATTAAACCTTTAATAGGCTTAAGGCTTTAATTAAAGTTTTAATTAAGGGTGCCTTAGGCTCGTAGTATAGGTAAGGTTGTATCTATAGGCGTAGCGACAATAGCAAGTAATGTTAATAATAGCAGCGCTAGTCGTCTTAGCGCTAACTTTACCTTGCTTTCGATTTCCTTCTTCGACTAATAATATACTCCGTAATACTATTACTAATATAGCCGCGCCGGCCGCGCTATCTTTGCCGATTGCCTAGGCCTTAAGGCCCCGATAGAATAAGGGAACAAGAGGGAGACCTATAGGGCGCGTTAGTAAAGAGGTAGAGTCCTTAAAAGAGTATGCGATTAATTAATAGACGCGTCGTAGCGCGCCTAGTATAGTCTTATTATCCTAGTTTGCCGGCCTCTAATTAGTTAGCTAATAGTACCCCGGGGGTAGCATTATTCCTAGGCGACATTATAGGCCCTTAGCCTTCTTCTTGTTCTTTACACTAGTCTAATACTTATCTAACAACTTAGTTATATCCTTAAACGAGTCTTCGGCCTCCTACGAGTCCTATTTAGGTAAATAGCCTTGCTATCTTAGGAGGTACTCCTTCTTACCTCGCCTAGTCTAATAATCTAGGATACGTTCTATAGACTATAGCTCTTTACTATCCGCTAGTATATCTTCGTGTTTAGTAGGGGCTTCATCCCCCTCGCGTAGGTAATATAGCTTAAGAAGGGATATATAGAAGGTGTTATAGATAGTGTAATAAGGAGGAAGCTATAACTAATAGGCCTATACGGAGGAGCCCTTAACTTCTCGAATGCAGAATAGACTAATATACCTTAGTACTAGTTTAGGGCGTGTTTTGCTATTAGGTAATAGGTGTTTGCGGATGCAGAGGTTCTTTGTACTAAGTATAACTATATCGCCTTGTTTGAAGGTTATTAGCGTATAGTGTTTGTTATAGTAGGTCTTTTAGTACTCTTAGGCCTTTGTTAACTTCTCGGCTATCTTAGTATAGATTTCTCGCATCTTCTAGATACGTTCTATTGCTACTAGTGTCTCTAGTACTTAACGCGCTTCCCTTTCCTTACGCTCGGCCTCGAGCGAAGTAAATAGATCTTGTAGTAGGGCAGCGTTTTGCCCTATTATAGCTATATATAGCGAAACCTTAGTTAATAAGTATATACTATTATTATATATAAACTCTATAGGCTATAGGAGGTTAACCCAATCCTCGGGGTTCTTATTAATATAGCTACGTAGGTACTGCTATAGGGTAGCATTCTGCCTCTCTATTTGACCGTTAGTCTGTAGATAGAAGGCTATTAATAGCCGATGCTTTAGTCTTAGCTATAGGCATATTTCGCTCTAGTAGTGCGATATAAATGTCGAGCCCCTATCGGAGACTATCCCCTTAGGGGTTCCCTAATAGGTATAGAAGATATTAGTCTATAGCGCCTCTACTATATTAATAGTAGTCCAATCTTTGCGCGCCGGGATATATCGAGCGCCTTTAGTAAATCGATCTACTATAATAAGGATAGCATCGTATACGTCCTTGCTGCCCCTATACTTAGTAGGAGGAAGGCCTGTAATAAAGTCTATTATTAGCTTAGCAAATAGCTTCTTTAGAACAGGGAGCGAAGCTAACTCGCCGAACGGCAAGTGCTTCGGTGCTTTAACTCGCTAGCATACTATACAGGTCTATATATACTCCTTTATATACCGCTTACTATTTAGCTAGTAGTATGTACGCGATAGTAACTCGTACGACCTCTCTATGCTATAGTAACTAGCGAGCTTACTATTATAGTGCCTCTTTAAAAGCTCTTATCTAATCGATTGTTTAGCGGGGATATAATATCTGCCCTTAAACTTTAAGTAACCTTTATCGTCGATCGACTAGTTATTACTCTTACTAGATCGAGTCGCCCGTCTACTTACAAGCTTATTAATGCGCTCGATAGCAAAGGCGTCCCTCTACTAAGCACGCAATAGCTTATCTATAAACGATTAACTATCCCTATTTGTAAGGTCATTTAATAGCACCCTCGCTATCGAACGAGGTACGTATTATATATATCTAATAGTACTAGTAGCCGGAACTACTACAACCTCTTCTATAGTACTATCGCTATAGATAGCAATATCTTTAATCGAGTTATTATAGCTCG